GTGGGCTGCTAATTATATTTTCCCAGAATGCACGATTAACCCTTTCTATAGCATACTGACCATGCTGTGTCTCTTCATCCTCTTCTTCCAGGCTTGGATGAAGAAGGAAGCCTCTATATCTTTAAGGAGGAGCGTATGATTGAATTTGACGGGGAATTGGCTGCAGATGTCCTGGTGGAATTCCTCCTGGATGTAAGCACAGATAAGATCAGAACTGGCCAAATACTTCCAAAATGTTTTTTCAAATGTTCACCACAAAGGAGTACCAGCCCTATTTGCAGCCCCTTCTTGTTTGTTCTCTGCAAGAGTATTCTTTTCTTGTTTGAAAATGTCATGAATACCGTCCTCCAACGCTGACTCCAAAAGTGTTCATGGCCACGCTGGAATCTCTTTGATTTCCTTCCTCCTGCTTATAAGATGTTCAGTCATCCAATCAGGGAGCAAGAAACAATGCCATGTGATTTAGCTGACTTGTCCCATATAACAAACAGTGAATAACTGGCAAATGGGAATACACTTGCATAAGACAGGTTTATCAAAAAAAAAAAAAATACTGAACCCCAGGAAAAGCCCAGCTAAACTTGTTGAGCAAAAAAAAAAAAAAAGACTGACCGGGGCCAAAATACAGTCACGGCCCCTTTAATTCCTAGCCAGCTCCATCCTCCCCCACCCCTGCCAGCCCGAGTTGCGCTGCGTGTCCCAACTGCCCAAGCTGGGAAAAACAGAAAATACCGGACATTTTACATGTCCAGTATTTTCTGAATTTTTTTACGGGATGGAAGGCACAAATACTGGTCTGTCCAGTTTAATTCCGGACACCTGGCAACCCTAAACAAGAGAACAAATTAGTTATAATTCAAATGTGTTCATAGGTAATGTAATAAAACCAGCTCAGTACAATGACTAAATTATTTGCAGTGACCCAGACCCGGCCTTTGGGCAAGGCGAGCAAAGCGGTTGCCTTGGGTCCCACGCCTTCAGGGCCCCACGCTGCCCAGAGCCCGCCTGCCCGGCTGCTCACTCGCTGCCCTGGGTGGGAGCCGCCCAGCCACATGGTGCAGCCAACCACAACATGCCACCTTGCCTGCAGTGACCAGTTTGTCCATCCATCACTAGACATGATCAGTCATATGAAAACAATGAAATGTCACCAGGGTAAGTGAGAGGAGAATTTGGTCTGCAGAACTTAGACCTCTCCGGTCATGTCATCTATTTCTGCCAGCACACAAAGAGGTACTCATGCCTGCTGGACACATGGAAATAATGCAACTGGCTCAACAGGTTTTCTCTAATTCTCTGCTCTTATTCTTTATTACAAAGCGAGACATCGGCTTGGAACCAAGTTATTTGCTTTAGAGAAAAAAAATGTGAGCCTGCTCTTTATAGTGAAGCCCCTTCAATCTGAAGAGCTCAAAGGGCTTTCCCAAGGCTTGTCATTATTACTCTACATTTTGCAGATGGGGTGACTGAGAGAAAGAGAGTGCCATGACAGCCCTGAGCTCATTGGTAACTCAGATCTCCATCCCCTTCCCCCCACATCAAATTACTGAAAGCACTAGGCTACTCGTATACTCCTGAGAAGGATTCAATTCCTTTTGTGTATCCCTGTCTCAAATGAGACTCCTTTATGTATGACTTCCATACCCCCTTCTTTGTAATGTCACAGGCAAGAGGGACCTGGCCTCAGTTGGGGAAATGACTGAGCTGCAGGCTCAGCGTATAGAATCATAGAATCCCAGGGCTGGAAGAGACCTCAGGAGGTCATCAAGTCCAGCCCCCTGCCCAAGGCAGGACCAATCCCAACTAAATCATCCCAGCCAGGCCTTTGTCAAGCCAGGATTTTAAAACCTCTAGGGATGGAGATTCCACCACCTCCCTAGGGAACCCATCCCGTTGCTTCACCAGGGTCTCTGCAGTGACCCAGCTTTGATGCTGTAATGGTGCTGTGGACCTGGCCTCTGTGGGGAAATGTCTGAGGTACAGGCCCTGTTGAAAGATACATTTGTAGTGGGGACCACAGCTAGGTTTCTGGTACAGCAGGAAACACTGTCTGTGTCTCTGCCTAAAACCAGTGTAAGTTACAGGAGAGCAGCAGTTGGTGGCAACTATGGTTCAGGGCCTGGTTCATAACAGCTTGCTGCCTGGATGGTAGTGTGGAGCTACTTTTAATTCTTACTAGTGTAAATAAGATGAACAGGTCCACAATACCTGGATCCCACTTGTCCTCAGCTTCTCATCTGTAGGATGGCACTTCCATCAGCATTATGCGGGGATACTGGGTCAGTACAGACTTGCAGGGAAGAACGCTGTATATTGGCGTCATAGAATCATAGCGTCCTATCAGAAAGATGCTACTTCTGATCTTGCTGCAGGGCTAGGCTCAGGGGAGAGAGAGGGTCTCTGCAGTGGCCCAGCTTTGGTGCTGTAATGATGCTGTGGCAACGCTCATCAGATTTTGGGGTCATCTGCTAAACAACACACCTGTGGCAACCGGCCCTCCTGCATTTTGCCATCAGTGGCTGATCATAGGCTTCGTGTCCTCTGTAGACCAACCACTAGAGGGCACTATAGTAACAAACACTGGAAGATTTCTGGCTTTTCATCTAGTTTTGACTAGGATGGGTGGGGAACCTCAGGCCCTGGGGCCCCGGCTTGCCTGAATCTGGCCCCTGTGGATCAGCATTGAGGAGCCTGTACTGGTACTCCAGCCCCCCGCCACCCACCCACAGGGCTGGAGCACACAAAATCCACTAGTCTGGGCCCCCCTAGGCTCTGGTGTGTGAGTGGAATGCGGGGAGTGTCTTTCTGTTTCTGTCAGGGGCTTCTCACTTGTGTACAGCCCCGACTGATTTTTCTGAGTCAGTGGCCCCCAACCCAAAAAAGGTTCCCCAGCCCTGGACTAGGAGATAGCAAACACACATGCTATACAGCCAAGCGGCATTTATTATGCAGCACAAAGCGCTTGGTGAGACGTTCTGTTTGCTATATTTTGATATGTGCATATAAAGCATGCAGTGTCAAAAGAGAACCAAGATCTCTTCTCTCAGGAGGTGCCTTGCAATAAAGAAAATCCCAAACAAGCAAGGGGAAAGAATGACAAAAAAAATCTAGTGTGTGAGCAGAATTGTCCCTAAAGAAAATGGGTCCAATTCTCCCCCATACAGCATTTACACTGGTCTATCTCCATTGGTTCCAGTGCAGTCACTTCTGATTTACATCAGTGTCACTGAGGATGCATCTCCACTACACCCTAAAATTGAAATAAGATACACAAACTGCACAACACAATTTGTGTACCTTATTTCGATTTTATTTCAAAATAGGCTATTTTGAAATTTGGCACGTCTACATGGCGCCAAATTTCGAAATAAAATGCTATTTTGAGCCATCCCTTAACCCTCGTGCAATGAAGTTTATAGGGATGGCGAAATAGCGCATCCGTTATTTCAAAAAATATTTTGAAATAACAGGCGTTTTCTTTGGACGTGAGGTAGCTATTTCAGGATATCTCTTATATCCCAAAATAGCCATGCAGTGTAGATATACCTGGAGAGGGCAATCAGACCAAATTCTTTCCTTGTCTGTAGAACCCCTCTTTCCGCCAAGTTCTGAGACGTCTGGATCCCCTGGTTTGATGGAAATCACTGCACAGATAGGGACAGCCATAAAATTCAGATCCAGATCCAAACTTTCCCAAAGTCCTTGGGAGTGTTTGGCCTCACTCTGGCTTGCCTTTTGAAATTACATTGTCACCCAGCATCCTTTATTTGTTACGATGTCTTCCCCCTTTAACCTCAACAATTTGTGCTAAAGAAATTCAAAATACTAATGTTGATCATCAACAGCCACTCATTGGTAGGAATTTTAATAGTGATTATACATTTAGTGAGGGGTGTTCTCTCCACTTTAGATTAATTTCATAATAACAAACCTCTGATAAGTCAGCTGTGATTGTATTTATTAAACAAACAATTACAAAGACATTATATTCACAGGGAGGCATATAATTACCAATAGCTGATCTTCCCTGAAATGTCTAACAGCTGGCATCAGTCTGCCAATGACCTTATTTCCCTATGATTTAGGAGCAAGCATACTCTTGCCTCATTGTGTGGCATTCTGTTCTTTATCTAATTCCTCTTTCTGATACACATATCTCTTTACTTTATTCCCAAGATTCCCCGTTCCACTGCAACTTTCCAACTCTCTCATCATCTAGTGACTAGTCAGTGTGTATACCCTATTTTGGATAATTTCAACCATTATACATCTTGCAGACAGCTTAAAAATAATATTCAAAATAAGCTGAGGGTTACCGCTCCATAATATTCCATCCTTTGTTAGATAGCTTTATCTTAACTGCAAAGCACCATGTTAGTCTTGCTCCCAGGCAAGCCTTAAAATCTTCCTTGGCCTATCTTAAGTGTCAACACTCAACCTCAGCAACTGCTGCTCTCCTAGCCCCCCTTCCAGCCTCTCTCAGCTGCTGATCACTCATCCCCCCAGACCCTAACACAAGACACCACCATCCTTCCTCCTGACAGTCATTCGCCCACTCCAGCAGGTTTTCTATGATCTTTTGGGATGCTGATTGCTCCTTCAATCTTCCCACAGCAGCCATATTCCTCACCTAGCTATCTGACCCCCACACAAACTCCCAGGAGGGGCCCAAACTCTCCCTCTCCACCTCTTGTCCATTAGCTATTCACTTCTCTGGCCCAGCCTTCCTTATGGTCTTCTCAGACAACTCTACTCCATGGGTTCCTTGTCTCGGGCTGGGCTGGGAACTTGCCACGGGGGTTGGGCAAGGCTTCTGGCAGCAGGGAGGCATTCTAAGAGCTCCTCTTGGACTCTCTATAAAAGTAGTCTGGAAGAGGCTGGTGCTGCAAGAGTAGGATTATTTATAAAATGCATTTATCATGGCAGTTGCTAGAAGACCCAGTGGAACTCATCAACAGCAAGCTGGAGCTACAGGCCTTCGACCGCATCGAGGACGAGATCAAACTCATCGGCTACTTCAAAGGAGAAGACTCTGAACGTGAGATTGACATATTCTTTGCTTTAGTCTGAATGGGCTTTAGGAAGGGGGTGGGGGATTCCAAATCAGGGACCGTAAGCAAGAGGGCGTGCCAAGGAGGATGTCACATCAAAGTCTCTGCCAACAGATGGAGGTGGGCTGAGAGCACCTTGAATTTTCTACCTGCCCTGTCCACTTGAGCTCATTCACACATTAACAAAGCAGACAAAGCCTAGGTGTTCCTATTCTAATCCACTTGTAGGATCCTGGACGGTTCTCTGCTGGAATAAAACCATTAGCCCATCTACTTCCTATCTCCCTGCCACACCAAAATGGTCATCCAGCTTGTCCTGTAGCTTGTCTCTATTAATGGTCTGGATGTTTCAGAGGATGATGTAAACCCTCCATAACAAAGTGCCTATTTGTGCAAAGCTTATCCCTGGGGAAGCTGCTCTACGCAAACACAGTTTGGTCGGACACCTCTGGAATCCCTTCTTTAATGCCTTTTCCTGTCTTTTTCTACTTTCAGATTACAAGGCATTTGAAGAGGCAGCTGAACACTTCCAGCCATACATCAAATTCTTTGCCACCTTTGACAAAGGGGTAAATATCCAAAAACACCCTCACAATCTCCTTTCTGAAAAGCCAAAGTACTTTCAGCGTAAAGTTCAGGGTTAGGCTAACAAGGACTGTAATTAGTAATGTTAAGATCAGGGCTTTCCCAAAGCTCAGCAGAGCGAGAGTTTAGATTCAGGGTTGTGAGAACTTGACTCTAATCTCTGTCCTGTGCCCTGATGCATTACTCTGCCTTGGCAAAGAAAATTCTCTTCTTACTGGAAGACAAGGGCTTCTACCCCTAGCCAAACAAAGCAGTGATCACTGTGATCAAGATCAGTGTCTAAACACAAAGCACCAGGTTCCAGAGACCGTTGCATTCAGTAGGGTTGGACCAGGGAGGAATTTGTCCCAAAGAGACAATTCTGATAGAAGTCACCAGCCTAAATTCAGAGGTGACATAAATAGTGGTATAAATGACACATCAGGTGTAAATTAATAAGAAAACGGCTGTGACAGCAGGTAGCTTGAACCAATTTGGCATTGGATGAGTGTATAAACAAGTGTAGCCTACTCTGAGTTCGGTGTGTAAAGTGAGCACTTGAGCTATAATTTGGTTGTTAATTCCAGTGTATGTGAAAAAAAAAGTAGAACATCTAAATTCTCCAGTAATTTCTGCTCCCAACATACACAGAGCAGTAGCCTTGGGTGACCGGGACAGCAAATGTGTGAGCTTTGTAGCCACACCCCCATTTCTATCTGTACAGCACTGCACATGTCTCTGGTCTGCCCACCCTGTCATACATTTCATTAGCCCTGTTGGAATCAGCTTCCCTATTCAGCAGGCCTGCAGAGACTGAGATTCCTCCCACTAAATGGGGTCAACTGTGAGGCTGTCACTGAGGCCCATGAGCTTGTCTCTCCTCCTCTTCTAACAGGCCACATCTCCACTTGCAGGAAGCTGGATGCTGTAGCAGTCGATCTTTCAGAGTTTGATTTAGCGGGTCTAGTAAAGACCCACTCAATCGAATGCAGAGGGCACCTCCATCGACATCAGAATTCCTACTCCTTGTGAGGAGTAAGGGCAGTTGATGGGAGCATTTCTCCCATCAACCTCCCACTGTGAGGATGGCACCAAAGCTCGGCTTAAAGTACCTTGACTCCAGCTACATTTTTTACATAGCTGGAATTGTGTACCTTAAGTGACCTTCAGCTGTAGTTGTACCTGGCCTCAGTTGTACCTTGCTGCCTGGCCAGTGAGAGTCTATTTGTAGCAGGGAGCAGCAGGTGGATGAGAGAGAGAGTGGAATCACCAGTGTCTCTCTGGCAGGGACAGGCTGTGGTATCGGACAAACGAGCAGAATAGGGAATGAAGGGAGAAGGGTCAGTCGAGACTGAAAGAGGGGCAAGGACAGAAAAGGGGCAGAAGACTATAGGAATGGACAAAGGGTCAAAGGAGAAGAAAGTTAATGGGCTAGGGAAGACAAGGGGGTGGTAATACAGGATTCTGGGGCAGCTACGGATAGCCTCGCACATGGAGAGCAATATTAGCCAATAAGCTGCAGTAAGTATCACACAGTCCAATAGCAGATAAAACAGAGGTGAGGCCCACCCCAAGAAGAGGAGCATTTATCACCTAGAGGACAAGAAGCACCTGGAAATATTGCCTCTTCATGGGGAGGCAAGCCACCGACCTTCTGACAATGAGAAGAGCAGTTTAGAGACAGAAATGGGAATCAGAGTTAAGTGTCTTCACCTCTCTGTGCAGTCGGCCTCCAGCTGCAAAATGAAGACAGTAATAATTAAATTGCCTACCTCCCAGCGGGAGTTTGGAGGGATAACTGCTCAATGGTTATACAGCACTTAGAGATGAAAAGGGTTATAAAATAAAAAAGAATAGTCTGCTTATCGAAACACCTTTACATTATTCACTGCCCCAAATGCTATCGCTTATGAGAGTGCTTCTAAGATGTAGAGTCAGCCCCAAATCTAAAATTCAGCTCCAAACCAGGAATCTGAACATTCGAGGTTTTAAGTTGTCCCCATTATAGAGGCCACTTCTGCAGTTCAGATGCAGATCGTAGATGGGATTTGAAACTGAAGTTTGAGATGTTTGGGCCCCATGCTCACACAGTGCAGAAAGTGGTATTTATGACGGGAGGCATGGGCTGCGTGTGTAACGGGTCCCCTTTACAAGGTATGCTCAGCACATAGCACGCTCACCACTGCTCTGCAATAGAGAAGACGTTTGCTAATGCCAGTGAGCATGTCAGACCTACTCACTTGTAACTTCCGTGCTTGCCACAGGTGGCAAAGAAACTAGCTCTGAAGCTGAATGAAGTGGATTTCTACGAGCCATTCATGGACGAGCCAGTTCACATCCCCGACAAGCCTTACACGGAAGGGGAGCTGGTTGAGTTTGTGAAGGAGCACAGAAGGTACCTAGCCTGCTGTTGAGGATCTGGTTGGCTCAGGCAGTAGGGACTGGCCTATGGATCCTGTCACCTCAGGATTGCTGGTGCCAGTCTAGCACGTGAAGGTGACTGCCATCTGCTAGCTGTCCAATGGCCTATACAACATTAATTGTGTGAGATTGTGCCTAATTCCTAGTGTACAGGTATCTGCCTCAAAAAGTGGCATTCTAAGCTAAGGATTGAATGGAGACTGAACTCCACTCTTCTTCCCAGAGGCTGGTCCCTCTCTGTCCAGAAGGCAACACAGTGGTAGCAGAGAGTGGAAAGCATGCACTGTTCATGCAGTTCCTTCCTTTGTAGAGAAATAGTAGGCCTCCAGGGCTGTCACAACGGCTCTAAATTCAACCCACCCCTCCACTCCTGACTATGACTATCATCTGCTTTTGATGTTAAAAGGGACCCATGAGCACACGTACCGAGCAAAGATCACAGCACGCTCTTTGAGGCAGGCTAAAAGGAACAATAAGTGTGCCTGTTCCAAGCGAGCTGAAGGAAGAAGTTACTTCATATGAGGACCTGGTCCAGGAAAATGTTGAGCGCCCACAGTTTCCACTCAAGTCAATGCAAGTTGTGGGTGCTCCATACTTTCGGGGATCAGGTCAGCTTTATATATGATTAGGGATGGGGCAGGAAGGAAAAAAAAACCTCGTAGCCCAAGATTCTGGACATGAATAGCAAAGTTTATTCCTATCTCCGGTGCATACACATGTTTATCTGCTGCCTGTGGGGCAAGGTGAATATGTACCTTTAAGCATACAATGCCATGGATTTGAAGCAGGACATTGCCTAGCCCATATACAATTGCTTTTCCCAACAGTTATACATCTCTGGAGCACATGTGGAGTCTGCCCCTATGGTCGATGTAATATACTTAGACTTCTGTAAGGCGTTTGACTTGGTACAACATATTTTCACTAAAAGCTACAGGTTGACTCTCTCTAGTCTGGCACTCTCTGATCTGGCAACATCCGTGGTCCGGCATGATTGCAGTTAGCCAAATGTCCACTTATCATGGGTGTGGCCAAGAGTCCGGTGGTCCCATATAGCTTGTCTACAGCAACCAGTCCTGGCTCTCAGTGTTCTGTACTGTTATTTAGCTCTAATTTACCCCTAAATGTCTTCTAAGAGCCTAGTAAGCAGTGGAAGTGTTGGTAATGCTGCTGGACAATATCGATCTCCCCTGGTTCGGCACCAGTGAGGTCCTGAGGGAGCTGGACTAGAGGGGTTCAGCCTGTAGAAAGGTATTAAATTAACATGGCACACATTACATAGATCAAAAGCAGGCTACCTAATAGTTCTACAAATGTAATTGCAAATTGGGAATAATTAAACAGATGTGTTTCCAGTGGGGGCCTGAGGGATTGGCTCTTGGAGCTACCCTACCAGACATATTTATTAATGCCCTGGAAGAAAACATAAAATCATCACTGATAAAGTTTGCCAATGACACAGAAATTGGGAGGTAAATAACGAAGAGGTCACGTCAGTGATACAGAGCAATCTGGATCCCTTGATAAACTAGACTCACCAAACAGTATGGCTGCGTCTAGATTGGCATGATTTTCCGGAAATGCTTTTAACGGAAACGTTTTTTACAGAAATGCTTTTAATGGAAAAGCAGCTGATTTTCCGGAAAAATTGGCCAGTCTGGACACAGCCTACATGTTTTAATATAATTCAGTGTAAATGTATCCATCTAGGAACAAAGCATTAGGCTTCCTGACATTTTTTAGGATGCTGAAAAAAATTGGGAGGGTCTTGGCAGATAATCAGCTGAACACAAGTTTCCTGTGCAATGCTGTGGCCAAAAGGATGAAGGCAATCATTGGATGCAGAAATAGGACTCTTGAGTAGGTAGAGAGGTTGTTTTACCTCTATGGGTATGTCTACACAGCACCCTAAACTCAAAATAAGATGCGTAATTTGTGCCATGCAAATTGTGTATCTTATTTCAAATCTATCTCAAAATAGCTTATTTTGAAATTTCATGCATCTATACAGTGCCAAATTTCAAAATAACAGGCCATTTCAAGCCATCTCTTATCCCTCGTGCAATGAGGTTTACCAGGATGGCAAAATAGCGCACATGCTATTTTGAAAAATATTTCAAAATAACGGGTGGCTTGTGTAGATGCAGGATAGCTATTTCAGGATACCTCCAGTATCCCAAAATAGCCGTGCAGTGTAGACGTACCCTATATTTGGCACTGGTGAAGCAGCTGCTGGAATGCTGATCCAGTTCCAGTGCTCATAATTCAGGAAGGATGTTGATAAATTGAAATGGGGTCAGAGAAGGGCCACAAGAACGACTAAAGGATTAGAATACATGGCTGGTACTGATAGATTCCAGACATTCAGTTCAGACAGCTTAACAAAGGTAAGTTCCTTCTGGGCTTGGCACCTATGAAATGGGAGCAGAGTTTTATCCTCTGTCCACACCCAGCAGTAGCCTAGAGAGGTAAAACCCCACTGGCACAGGTACATGCTTTGTGATGGCTTTTTCCATTCACACCAGCAACGTAGGTAACTTGCCTGCATCCTAAGAGAAGGTGTCTTTGTTCTTTTCAGGGCCACCCTGAGGAAGCTGCGTCCAGAAGATATGTTTGAGACCTGGGTAAGTACCTGAGTGAGGGAAGCCTTTAGTCCCTTGAAATCTTCGAATGAGAAACAAATTGGCTCTGGCTATTGAATTGCTACAGAGAAGCTCCAAGCACAGATGGCTACACAGCAGCATTATCTCCCAAAGTCTTTGCTTTACAGGCACATTGCGTGAGTCTACAGCAGGGAAAGCTTTGTTCATAGCTTCCAGTGTGTACAGTAAATCACATGCAGAAGTGTTTTGCTGTTTGGGGACAGAGTGCTGAATTGAAGCCTGGCTCAGGGAAATGGTATTGAGGGTAATTAAAACGTAGTAACTTCTGTATAGCAATTCATCTACTCACATCAATTGGTGAGATGTCACTTCGAGTCAAGGTTTAAAGACTCAATTTCCCAACTCTTAAAGTAATTGCTTCTTATTACACCTGGTTCTACAATACAGAAGAGGAGAGGATATTCTCTGATTAGTGATGAGTACACTCTTGCTAATTCAAGGTGTAACTGTCATTGAGCCTCTCTCATGGTGACTACAATACAATCGTAATCAACAGCCTTAGGTAAGGAATCATCTAGTCACTTGTAGTGTTCACAGTATTTATTAGATAGGCCAGCCACATGGCATCGTTTGGGAATGACTTAACAGAACGTACCCAGCATGAATTGTGAATGTTACAAGAATAGACGATCCCAATTCAAAATTCAAGCTGGGATCATTTGTTAGCTTAATCACATGAGTTACTAAGCAAATTGTACGTTGACTGTAATGGCCACAGTTTGAACAAACTTCTGTTCAGAGGTTCTGAAGTAATGCTCACAAAGTTTGAAATAAAGAACACAGGCCAGGGTTTCGTGCTCTGTGAACAGGGGAAAAGTGACATTCATAGAATGAATCATTTACTGCAGATGACTCATTTACAATAATGCAAATGTAATAGACAGGGGTGTGACATTAAAAGCCTATCAGGAGCTCTAATTAGGTCCAGCCTACTGATAAATTCACTGCAATATTATTCATGAATTGTATTACCACTCCCAGTGGTTTACAGACATCGAAGAAGATACCGTTATTTCGCCAAAGAGCGCAGGGCCAACTTTTTCAACAGAGTCTGCTTGGCTGTCCAACTTGAGATGCCTTGGGTCTGATTTTCAAAGGGTTGATTCCAGGACTCATCCTTGAGACATCCAGGAAAGAGATGAGGCAACAAAACCTTGAAGACTGTCATTTAGGCTTTGTGTCTTTGTTGGACCCAGCGTTTACATTTATTATTTAAATACAGTTTTGATATACTGGGTATAATCCTGGCTTCCATTGACATCACTGGAACCAAGATTTCACTCATAGTGATTTTCATGTAATTAATATTATATATGTTATAATCGTCTTGAAGAAAGCTTGGATCCTCAATGGTGGATAGCTTGTTTAATAAACACAAGATTAAAAAACAGGCTTTACCTTAATAAAGGTAACGAAATGTTTGTATCCAAGAGATCAGGAGCTAGATTCTGATCTCAGTTACCAAGCATAAATTCAGAAGAGTCACAATGACGGCACTGGAGTTACTACAAGTTTACAGGAGTGCAGCTGAGATCAGAATCCTGCCCTATTTGTCTAAGGAGGAGTAGTTTATTATTAATTATTTATGATTATGATGATGATGATTATTATGTCTGTTGGGCAATGATCCTGCTGGCAAAAGTCAAGGAAAAACAAAACTGCAGGCAACAAGATGTGATCTGATTTATGTAGCCCTGTATCTCTACTACAAGTTTACAGGAGTGCAGCTGAGATCAGAATCCTGCCCTATTTGTCTAAGGAGGAGTAGTTTATTATTAATTATTTATGATTATGATGATGATGATTATTATGTCTGTTGGGCAATGATCCTGCTGGCAAAAGTCAAGGAAAAACAAAACTGCAGGCAACAAGATGTGATCTGATTTATGTAGCCCTGTATCTCTGTGAAAATAGCCCCCCCCCCCTC